AATGTTACTAACGAACCTTTCTAAATCTAATACTTTCCAAAATATCATTAACATCATAAAAACTTAAAACATATCTCTGCAAAATCATGTTAACAGATAAATAACTTGTGAAATTATGTGGTAGATATGACTATTTTAATATTAAATCTGTACCCTCTAAAGCAAACGGGAAACAGTTATACGTAAATGTTGAAATGTACATAGTTTAGACTGGTTTAGTACAACCTTTCATAGTATAGAAATACATGTTGTCAACTTTACCAAACAGCACTATCATATACATATATATACACAAAGTGTCAAGCACAAAAAAATCTGACAAAACATTAAAGTCAACACATCAGTTTCTATAAATGGAATGGTTAGTATATGAGTCATTTGACTTAAAATGTTATCACCAATTAACTTAACTATGATTAAAGCAAATTCCAGCAGTTGCATCAGAATCTAAAAAAAGATTTGTCATTTTCTTTATCAATCGCTAGATCATTATGGTAATCTCCATCAAAACTGGAGATCACAGGACTGCAGATTATTAATGGGATTCCCTTATGCTATATAAATTCTTGCTGGAATAGTCAGTAGTTGAGTCATTTAATTTTAATGGTCAAAGCAAATTTCAGCAGTTGGATCAGAATCTAAAAATAGATTTGTCATAAGCTGCCGATATTTCCTTATCAATGGCTAGATCATAATGGTTATTTCAATCAAAACTGGAGATCAAAAGACTGCAGATTATTAATGCCTTATGCTTTATAAATTGTTTTTTCTTTATTTTGCTGGAATAGTCAGTAGTTGAGTCATTTAACTTAAAGTGAAATCAACCATTATCAAAGCAAATTCCAGCAGTTGCATCAGAATCTAAAAATAGATTTGTCATAAGCTGCCGATATTTCCTTATCAATGGCAAGATCATAATGGTTATATCAATCAAAACTGAAGACTACAAGACTGCATACTATTAATGCCTTAAAAACAACCATTCCAATTATGTAGTAATACTAAACAGGGAACAAACATATTACATGTATAAAAGCTCTTAAATTACAATTAGTAGCTGTATAATGAGTACATGCCGTGAGAAACAATGGAAATAAGAACAAAGATGTACTCATCTTAAATATTCTCAAAGTAATGTTTAATCTATCTAAAGCGAAAGAAGGATTGTACTGGCTAACCTGTGAGAGACATTAGGTCCCCTCGATTTGTGAAGTAAGTCGCTGGCTAGTAGGAACCAGCATATGCTAGTACGTGAATGGCTAGTGATAAATTGAACAAAGTAGCAGCGAAATTATGTCATGTATAAAGGTTGTAAAACACTGGATCTCAATTTGACAGTTGTCTATATGCATCCTAGCTGACAAAGCATGTCCCTATATATAGACCTCAGAATATCATATAAGCTGGAGATTGAAAATAATGGAGCATATAAATAAACTTTTAAGAGTCTATTCATCAAAATGTTGTGAAATTAAATCTTTAGTCACACATCAGCAGACAATCTGGCATATAGGCCAGGTAGCCCACCAGTGAAAACCACATTGCCAGCCGGCTGGTGGGTACATGCATGTTGATAGCAAATCGAGCAAGCCCACTGATAGTGATGGATCTATGATACTAAACAGTACAAGCATGTGATTTTTTTTTCTATTCTTATTTTGTTTTTGCATGATGTTATTCCCAGCACAATCCATTCACTGCTTGATCCTTTTTCAGCATCATACCTCACCAGTATGTACATGTAATTACACTATAGCTAAACATTTGACAATAGAAACGGAATGGCATTAAGTGATGTGTCTGGAGATTTCCTGATCTCTTCCACAATGGTTCCTATTGGAACACCCTCCTGAAATGTCCAACACGGAGGGAAACTATCCCGTATATGATACTGATGATGAAAACTGGAGTCATCAAAATGACTGATGTAATAAAAAGCTGGATAGCCGGCCCTGAACAGGAAGTTTACCACAGGCAGCTGGTCATCCTGGGTAGAGTTGGTCAGACCAAATCCGCCGGACGCTCCATTGATGAGGGATGACAACACGGGAAAGTTATGACCGCATCTTGTTATTGGGTAATATGTTGCATTCCATGGACTAAGCCCTTTATAAAGTTGGTCTATGCTCACTTGAAACGTTTCTTTCAGTTGTTTACTCCAACCTTCCACAAACTGTAAGTTGAGTGCTTGGAGGGGAAATTTCAATGCAGACGCATCCACAACCAGTTTGCCGTACATGTGTTTAGGATGGAGTTGGTAGCCAGCAATGTACACTGGGTGTTCCTGGTCACCATTTACCTCTGTATGTCTGGTGAAATGTGGTGGAGTCTGTTCATAGTTACCCTGATCCAATCTCAGCAAGGCAAAATCTAGGTCTTTACAGTGAGCATGTAAATTCGGCTCAAATCTGTACTGAAGTGGAAGTGTCCTTCTTCCAGGACGTGATGTACTGACATCAGGGAAGGTTACAGTCAAATCGTTTTGCAAACACCATTCATTTGGCCAACCATATTTCATAAGAGACTCCTCGATACAATGATAACACGTCAGAACATACCCATCTCCGATGTGGCAGCACGTTCCACACTCCATGTAATGATTTGTATGTCTTTCACGCTGAAATATATGACCAGTTCTTGGTGCTGTATAGTTGTAAATTTGCTTTTTATTCATACCATGATTGCTCCAATCATGTTTTTGTTCTGGATGGAAACAGAAATCAGACAAACAGTCACTTTCTGTCCTCGGTATCATCCTCTGTTTGTTGCTGGTCTTAGCCTTTTTCCGCAAATCAGCATGTTTACGTCTGTAATCCTTTCGCTGGTCGTTTGTTTTCACAATGAATGGTCCTTTTTCTGAATAAGACTGGTCTTCAGTAGAGCCACTTATAGCAGAATCAGCACCACCTGCATCTGTACATGTGTATGCTGGCCTATCTCCTGATCTCTCTTCAGGAACGTCACCTGAGGCTGTGGCACTGAGTCGTATACCACCAAATTCAAGTTTAGATGGATCACATGCATAACGTTTGCTATTTAAAGATGTGTGTAATGCGTGTATGCCTTCATCAGAATGAGCTGTTCCGAATATCTTTGAGTCTTCACCAGTGTTTTGCGACAAAGACCTGTACACCTTTGGAGGCGGACGACTGCCCGACTTTGTGTCCACCTCTGGCTTTGGACAATCCACATCACTATTCCCCCACAAACGGCTGCTTTTATCACCCTGTTTTATATCCTCAGGAACGAAGATTGGTTCAATACCACCAACAGCTTCTGACAGCTTCTGTGAATACAACAAAGAATACAATGCAAGTTGTAACACATTAATATAGTGTGTGTTTGCTGAAATCAGAACCAGGATTGTAAGTTTGGGTTAAATAAGGTAGGTAGGCAAAACAATTGATATACATCCAATACATCATATTTCATAAATGACATTTTACTGCCTTCAATAAATTATTTCAAACTATACATGATTAAAATAGTACTGTCAGATGAAACCTTACCAATGTTTTTGTTAAAGCCGATACTAAACATAACTTATTAATAAAATCCCAGGATTTGAAAAGGAGGAAACAAAAAATGCAAAACTGAAAATTTCAAAAGAGTGTTCAATTTAAAAGTGTTTTTTTCTGGATCAGTCAGAATAAGACAAACAATGAATACAAATGTTTACTTCAAATCAAACATTTGAGAAAATGATATTTCATTGACACACTTTTAAAAATATGTTTGGACATGACTTTAAATACTACAGTAATTGTTAGTACAACAAGAGGCCCAGAGGGCCTGAATCGCTCACCTGGATATCTAAGCAATCATGGCAAAATATTCTCCAAATGAGATCCAAGGGAATATGTCAGACCCCAATGCCAATTCTTGTAGCATGTCTGTATAAGATTTGTCATGCCCAGCAATTTAATGTATGGTTATGGGGCAGGGATCTCAACTGTTTCCAAGCTGTGACCCAGAAACTAGATCCCTAGGGTTGTGGCCAGACCTCAGGATCAATTCTAATATCATGACGGCATTCGTCTCTTTTTGTCCAGCATTTGTATTTATAGTCTTGGGGTGAGGATCTCAACCGTTTTAAAGTTATGACCAAGGGGTTAAGTCTCCAAGGGTGGGGCAGACCCTTAGGCGATCCTGGAAGCATATGTGCATTCATCTCTTTATAATCAGCAATTGTATATATGCATGGTTATAGGGTGGGGATCTCAACTGTTTCCAAGCTGTGACTAAGAAACTAGGTCCCTAGGGGTTCGGTCAGACCCCAGGGTCTATTCTAATACCATGACTACTATTGTCTCTTTATGCCAAGCCTTTGTATATATAGTTCTGGGGTGGGGATCTCAACCGTTTCAAAGTTATGACCCAGGGACTATGTCTCAAAGGGTGGGGCCAGACCCTAGGCCATCCTGGAAGCAAATGTGCATGCTTCTCTTTATGATCCACAGTTGTATATATGGTTATATCGTGGGGATCTCAACCATTTCCAAGTAATAAACTTTTTTTGGCCCCATTCCTTAGCATGTCAGCCCCACCATTTGTACAATTTTGAATCNAAATAGTAGGAGTTGTTAATAGCAATATAGCCAAATTGTCCCCTTTTGGACCCTCCCTTCAGCCCTCTGGGGGGTCAGCCCAAACATTTGTACAATTTTTAATCTCCACTACCAAGGGATGCTTCCAGTCAAATATGGTTGATATCTATCTCTTTGTTCCAGAGGTGAAGTCACTTAAATAAATATAGCACAATTGCCCCCTTTTGGCCCCGCCCCTCAGGCCCCTATGGGGCCAGACCCACAGTTTATATAAAATTGGTTCCCCTTCAACGAAGGATGCTTCAGAAAAAATATGGAACAAATCCTTTCATTCCTACAGAATAAGAAGGATTTTAAAGAATTTGCTATGTTTCCCATATTTGGCCCCACCCCTCAGGCCCCTCGTGGGCCAGACCCACGGTTTATACAAAATTGGTTCCCCTTCACCGAATGATGCTTCAGACCAAATATGGAACAAATCCTTTCATTTTTGCAGAAGAAGAAGGATTTAAAATCATTTGCTATATTTCCACTATTGGGCCCCGTCCCTCAGCCCCCAGGGGGACCAGACCCACGGTTTATACAAAATCTGTTCCCCTTCCCCTAAGGATGCTTCTGAACAAATTTCGTCAAAATCCGTCAGTCGTTTATGACTAGTAGCGATTTTTAGGAAAAGTTGACGGACGCCGCGCCATGGCGGGCAGGTGAGCTAAACATATATCAACAATATGGAACATAGGGGAAACATCACACCATTTTATAACGATAATCAGTGTAGTATCTTGCATTTAGGTGAGCAAAGTTCAGATCATATTGCTGTATGAATGTACATTATTACGTACACTGACATGATGTCAAAAGGAGATCAACAGAGTTATATTGTAGCGTCAATGTAACTTGTTAGAGTGCACGTGTCTGTCTAGAGTTTTAGGGTCTGGGTTTGAATTCCAGTGTGGCCAAACTTTTTCTCTTTCCTAACTGACTTGAAACAAAAGGTGGTCGTGAATGGTTCAGCGCCAATATATATAGTATGTGTTGACAACCGGGAACGTATTTAAGAAATACTTTTTTTGTATATCCATATATATAAAAGACTTCCATGACACATTATCCAGTACCGCAAACTTTTTGTAGATGACTCAAAATTCTACAAAACTATCAACAATGGAGAAGACATAGAATCTATTCAGATGGACCTCAACTTGGTCTGTGAAATGACAGCCACAATGACATATGGCGTATACACAAAGGACCATCATCAATATACTGTCAAACGGAAATATCAGCTATATATATACCATTCAATCTGTAGACTATGAAAGGATTTCAGAATTATTTTGGACAGCAAAGTGAAGTTTGGAAATCACATATCAACATAAGTAGCCAAAGCAAATAGGAACCTTAGCTTCATCTTGAAAACTTTAATGGACAAGGCTATGTTTTTAACACAATACAAATCTCTAGTCTGCCCACACCTTCAATATGCCAGTGTGATTTGGTCTCCACACCTGATAAAGGATATCAAAACGTTGGAATACATATGTAACAGGAGATGGAAAAATGCACAACCGGACCAGGCTTTTAACACAGGACACTCACCCTAGGCCTCCCAACTCTAGATGGACGCTCTACCTATTGAGCTACCTGGTCGCCAACATAGCCCGAGGTTCCTCTGGCGCCGACACCAAGACTTAGATATTTTGACCAAGAGACATCTTGTGTGGGACATCTATCTGTTAAAATGTCAAAGTTTGGTGTACATATGTCAGCGCCAGAGGAAACTCAGGCTAGGTGTCAGAGAATTCCATGTTTTCATATAGTGTGTTCTGGCCCCAACGGCCAACACCAGGCATACATCTGTCAAAGTGTAAGTCTGGTGTCAGGGCCAGAGGAAACTCAGGCTAGATTATTACCAATATGAGCTGTTGTGCCCAACCTGATGTAAATGTTATTTTACCCGTTATTTTACCAAAATAATAGTTTAACTATATAATTATTTGTTTAGGCCTACTGTATAGGCTATAACCAGGTTTGGGAAAACCACCAACTTGCGTATAATACGCAAACTCGCCTATTATACGCCAGTTGTAGTATGGATTTGTTACTAAAAATAACCCAAATCGCTTTAACAGTAACTTTTGCAAGATATTATTAAAAATCACATTAATTTACGACAAGGTAAAAATATTTTGCTACAAGAAGTTTACTGAAAGCGTTGGCTACTTAGAAACTTGATGTAACTTTACCGGAAGTATTGCATCTATTTTTGGTACTTTCCCACATGCAAATAAAGTTTATTTTTGCATTTGTATTATGTTTCAAGACTGAATAAATGCCACTTGGAAAACAATTTAAAAAAGTTAAGATTAAAGTGATTTTGGCTATTTTTAGTAACAAGTCTTATTGGCGTATAATACTAATAGGCAAGTTTGCATATTATACGCAAGTTAGTGGTGTTCTCCGACCTGATAACAGTATATAAGATAGTTATAACTGAAATATACCAATACACAACGCAGCCTGAGATTCCTCTAGCCCTTATATACCAGATTTAGACATTTTGACAGATAGATCAGTAAGTCATTAGCTTCTTTGTCATAAGCTTGGTCATTATGGTATAAATGAGAAGGTTATAACACCTGGATAGGAAACTTCCTGGATAGTAGGAAACAGGCTGTCATCGTTGGAGGGGAAAAATCTAGCATTGTCGATGTCAAGTCCGGTGTCCCTCAAGGCTCGGTTATTGGTCCATCCCTCTTTCTATTCTATATAAACAACATTCCTGTTGGCCTCCACGTGCACTCCACTGTACGTCTATTTGCAGATGACACCATTGTCTATCTTACTATCAAATCACCATCTGATGCCCAGCTATTACAACAGGATTTAGACAAACTAGCTCTATGGGAGATAGTATGGGAAATGTTATGGTTGAATGCACTTCAAATCTACTTTCACTATCCTATATAAAAAATCAGAATTTTGTACTTCACTTGCGTTATTGAAAATCGCCATATCTATTGATTATTACAAACAACTTTTGGTTGAACAGTTTTTGGTTTTGAAAGTATTTCACGACCTTTGAAGCCTTAGAAAAGTCGGGACATCTAAAATCACGAAAATGTCAAAACACGAAAAACGTTCAACCAAAAGTTGTTTATAATAACCATATCAATAGCGATTTTTAATAAAGATAGTGAAGTACAAAATTTGGATTTTTTTATATAGGATAGTGAAAGTATATTCGAAGTGCATTCAACCATAACATACAAAGATGTTACCCAAATCAGGGACGAATAATAGATATACCGTCCCTGCCCAAATGCAGGATTATTACCCATATTCGCCGTTGTGCCCAAGCTGTTCAAATAGATGAAGCTTATCTGTCAAAATGTCCAAGTTGACACATGATACCTGTACATTACCTTAGCCTCATCTTCGTCGTTATACGACCCAGGGTGATCAGCAGTTTTTGAAGGATCTTTCTCTTCATCAGGTGGCCTCGCGCCATTCGACTGCTCCTTTTGCATTTGACCCTTTGCCATTACTAAGAAGTTTTAAGTTATGCATGGATCTATAAACAATTGTTCTGTTTCTCTGTTTGATCCTTCTAAAACATCGAACAATTAAATCTAAACAGACACGTCTAAATCGCCACGTCACTGGAAATTTCATGTGCTATAAATAAAATAGGGGG